ATGGCAAAATGGGACTGGTAGTCAAGGTTTTGCCAAGCAGTGACAATAGGGTCCGCAAGGTAGAGGTCAGGACTGTGAAGGATGGGACAGCAAAGGTGTTCTAAGTCCCGTCTCAGAAACTGTAGTCCTTCATTCTGAAGAGACTTTGTGAAAAACTCTTAAGTATGTTGCTGTCAAAAGACGTTTTTCCTCAGGTTTGGAAGGATCTGTAGTGATATAATGTTATTATATCAAGCGGGGAGTGTGCTGTCTTTAAAGTTAAGTTAATAGTTGAATACTGAGCTTAATGGTTAAATTACAGGGCTTCATGCTGGTTGCTGCCCTCTACTGGTCAGAGTTAATAATTTAGTGAAACACACTCTTCAGCTGAAGACAGACAGGCAAGATAAACAGTGCTGGATTCATGTTGCTGAAAGTATTTCTGATCCGCTTCTGTCTTGGAGACCATGTGCCTGTAAGTAAAATGTAAATCATTTTCAATCACTTGTATTTGTAAGGAATGTTTTTATGCTTTAGTAAAAACATGTGCTCTGGTAGCTAGCAGCACAGCAGTAGCTAGCCTGTTCTTTATTTGTTTTGTGACTTGTAGATGTTGTGGTAGGTGATCTGTGTTCTCAAATAGGAGGCGAAATCGCTTGTTGTATACAGTAGGCTACAGTGCGTGTTTTACACTTTGATAGGGATTGTGTAGTAACATAGTTATGTGTATCAGATATAGTCTCTGTATGCATATGTTCATGTTTTGGATACTGATATATATTCTTATTCTGTTATGTTTCAGTTTCCTGAATACATGTATTAAGTGATATATCACAGCTGGTCCCACTGCGGCAGGTGTCCCTTATTTTTCTGTATTGAAGCAGTCGATCCAAACCCACGATTGGTCAGTCACACCCACCAATAGAAACTCTAATCTTGACCATTTTTGACTTTGTTACGTCCCAAGGTCTAGGGGTGTCCTGGATGTAACATAAATGTGTGGCCTCCCTCTTCCCATTCCCAAACAAGGCCAGCACACAACAAATACAATTTAGCAGTTTTTTATACATCGGAGATGAGCAGTGCCCAAAACAACAACCAAAACACTAAGAAAACCTAAATCTTTCCTAAACCCAAAACCAAAAGGTAAAGAAAAGACAAAGCTCTAAAACTAGGCTTCTAAGTCCAAAAACAGGAGAAAACGGTGCAAACAAAAAAAAGGGCTTCTCACTCCTACTCACTGCTAGTAGCTGACACAATATAGCTACGACAAAGGAACTTGCTTCATAGCAACAAAAATGGCAAAGCCAACAAAACCAGGTTGTCATAAGACAATCAGAAGGACTACGATAAACTACTTACAATCTAAGTTGAATATAGTCACAACCGTTCACTATGTACAATAAACACAGACATAACACACAGTCCTCAGGCAGGTTGGGAATGGCAGAGAGAGGGGCAGAGTTCCTGTCAGTAGGGCTTAAGATGGCTGCTGTCATCCAGGTGCCCAATCAGGAGGCTCCAATCAGCTCAACCGGACCAATCCAGTGTGTCCACCTGTTCTCCAGTACCTGCATACACTCACACTCTAATGGAGGAGAACAGCTGACAGTGCCAGGAGAGATAAACTAACAACAAAATATGACCCCAGGGTCATAACACCTTGCAAAACTTTTTCACTTGCAATCAAAGAGGACAGATTAGCAATAAACCTGTTTTTTTGCAGTGAGAAATATGCATTAAAAAGACAGAAAAACACATTCATAGAGGAGCAGATTATGCTGTTTGCTTAAGGTAAATGAATCTCACAAGGCTAAAAATATGAGACAGAGATTTTGACTCTATCATGGTGCTTTAATTATCATCATTAAACTTTCTATGATAGGACAGAGATGTAGAAGTCAACAAGTAAGATGGACAGCAGCAGAGGAACCGAGAGGGAAACCAGGTGAGCAGTTCCAAAGAGGACAAAGCCCGGCTGGTTGGTGGTGATCTGGCTGTTGATCCAGGACTGATACTCGGACAATCGGGTGAAGACTTGTGGGAAATTAGATGCGGCACAGCCTTTTCGTGTTGTAAAACTCACCACTCCAGCCTGGACCCAGACAGAGCCGATTTTAGTCACCAACGGGCCGCCTGAATCCCCCTGCAGACGTCACACAGATCGGTTATTCTTCTGCTCTCAGAGGGAAATACTGTCATTTTTATTCATCAGAGACAGATCTATAGATTGGTGCAGATTTAAACATGTTTTGCAGATAGACTCACGTCACAGGTGCCATTTCCTCCCTGGGTCACACCAGCACAGATCATGTTGTTTGTGATTATACCACCGTAGGTAGCGTTACAATCACTGTTGGACACGATGGGAAGACTCACCTCCTGCAGCCTCTTTGGGGAAGGAAGTGAAACTGAAAAAGAAAAGGAGATATTAATGTAGAGTCTGTACTTTCTCTTTTTGTCAACAGTGTGTGTCTCACAGCCTGATTTTGTTGTGGTCCAGCAGTACTTCGTCCTCTGTGTTAAGGTTTGTCAAGCTAAGACACAAGACAAAGGGATTTGGTCCCACATCCACCGTCCTACTGCCCCAAATACTCACTAGAGCACCACATGTGGATTCATCCATCACTGGCTATAGTGCAAAAACGTTTATTTAATAGAAACTACAGCGAGCAGCTGTTTTAGGTAATGACTGAACCTTTTTAAACATTAATAGCAATAGACACCACCCTCTTCAACCAAGACATACAGCAAATTTCACTTCTCACACAGTTCGCATCAGTTAATGGCTCTGTTGACCACTATAATTCCAGCCTCTACAATATTCTTGATTTACATGCACCAATCAAAACGAAAACAGTTACTTTTTCCAGGTCAGCCCCTTGGTACACAACAGAGCTCCGGAGGATGAAAACGGCTGGCCGTGCCCTGGAACGGAAATTCACCTCCAGTGGCCTACATGTACATCAACAGGCCTACCGTGAACACCAAAAATCATACTGCAAAGCACTCACCACAGCCAGGTCTCAATACTTCTCTCAAAAAATCTCAAAGTGCTCTGGAAATTCAAAACAGCTGTTTGCATCAATAAATTCTCTTCTCAAACCTCCCATATATGCACATTTTGACACCAGTACAGACCAGTGCAATAGGTTCATGGATTTTTTCACCAACAAGGTAGCTTCAATCCGATCCAACCTTTCTGCCACAGTTTCACCCTCCTCCAAAATTAGTCCCACAAACCCATTAAAGACATTTTCTCTTTTCTCAGGCATTTCTCAGACAGAGGTGGAGAGGATCATAAGGTGCATGAAATCCTCCACATGCTCACTGGACCCTCTCCCCACATCATTATTAAAATCCAACATTACAGCCATCAGTCCATTGATCACAGCAATCCTCAACCAGTCACTCAAATCCGGTCAGGTTCCTCCAGCTCTCAAAACTGCAGTTATCCGTCCCCATCTGAAAAAGCCGTCACTTGACCCCGACATCCTGGCTCATTACAGACCCATTTCAAACCTGCCGTTTTTGTCCAAAGTCCTGGAAAAAGTTGTTGCAGCCCAACTCCACAATCACCTTCACATCCATAACATATATGAAAAATTTCAGTCCGGTTTTCGAGCAGCACACAGCACGGAGACAGCCCTGGTCCGCGTCACAAATGACTTACTTATGACTGCAGACCAGGGCTTACCATCTCTCCTCCTCCTACTGGACCTGTCGGCCGCCTTTGACACTGTGGATCACAACATCCTGCTTCACCGTCTCCAGTCTATGGTAGGACTTTCTGGGACCACACTAGGCTGGTTCCAGTCTTATCTCACAGCCAGGACGGAGTATGTGGCTCTAGGACAGTCCCAATCATCACCCCACACAGTCAGCTGTGGAGTGCCACAAGGGTCCGTCCTTGGTCCAACCCTTTTTACCATCTACTTACTACCCCTCGGTCACATCATCCATAAACACAAAGTTTCATTCCATTGTTACGCAGATGATACACAACTATACATAAAAATGGACTCCACACTCCCCTCAGCTCTGCCATCTGCACTTCAGGTTTGCCAGGAGGAGATAAGGGCATGGATGGCTGACAACTTTCTTCAACTAAATAGCAGCAAAACCGAAGCCATCCTGATCGGTACCCCACATCAAACCCAGTCCTTCTCCCTCAGCAGTATATCCATTTTTGGTCATCACATTCCCCTGTCTACCTCTGTTACAAACCTTGGAGTCAGACTTGACTCAAATCTCACATTCGACACTCACATCCGTCACCTCTGTAAGGTCTCCTTCCTCCACCTCAAAAACATCGCCAAACTCCGCCCCTCCCTCTCACAACTAGATGCTGAGAAGTTGATCCATGCCTTTATCTCCTCCAGGTTGGACTACTGTAATGCCCTCCTCGTCGGGATCCCTGGCAGGAGACTGCAAAAGCTCCAGCATATTCAGAACTGCGCTGCCCGGGTCCTGACGAGGAGGCGCAAATATGACCATATCACTCCAGTCCTGAAATCCCTCCACTGGCTGCCCATTCAATACAGAATTCAATATAAAATCTGTCTCCTTACCCACCAGTGCATACATGGAACTGCCACTGCCTACCTCAGTGAACTCCTCACCCCACTCACCACCTTAAGAAACCTCCGCTCCTCCACCTCTACCCACTGCCTGCACCAACCAAGGACTAAACTCTCCACCATGGGGGAATGCCCTCCCAGAGCCCCTAAGGGCCCCACAAACTCTGGAGGTTTTTAAGAAGGGCCTAAAGACTTTTCTATTTCAAAAGGCCTTTTAACAGTCATGGTTTTAAATCTTTTGTTACGGTGTTTTATTGCGATTGTTATTTTCTGGAACTGTTTTTAACCCCTTGTTGCTGTAGCACTTTGAGATTTCCCTGAAATGTAAAGTGCATTATAAATAAAATTTATTATTAAACTGTATGTCTGTGAAGATTTACGTCTTCAGAAGGAATGAATAGGCTCGGAGCTGAGAGCAACAGACAGGAAGTCAGACAGTGTTGAGAGACGGACTGACATGTTGCTGGTTTGAGTCTTTTCATGGGATATCTTGACAGTAAGAAAAATACAAAACATCAAACACCTTTTCCTTTAAACATTATATTATAAAATGACCCTTACAATGTTAAGCCCTGACTAACTGCATACGGGGCAGGACAATCGATTTTTGCCCCAAAAATTCAAGTGTGTCTGATCCTAGTATTTTGTCACCTTATTCTAGGGTGACCAGACGTCCCCGTATTCCGGGGACAGTCCCCGGATTTGGTGGCCTTCCCCCGTCTGGAGCTCCGTTTTTACCTGTGTGCTAATCATAGACTGTATGAGGTATTAACAGACCTGAAATCAGTTTTACTTGGCCAGAAAGACTGGATAGCAGAGCATACAGGTGTCGTGATGAAAAGCGAGTCTGCAGTTTTTTGATTGCCGTCCGCGGGAGCACGCGCTGCTTGTTAATTCTGTATAATCCAGTCTTTTGACATGTACAGCTGCTTTTATCTGGATCAAACTAACAGAACGTGCAAATAAACATAACTTTATGTCCGTGGTATAGTCTTTGTGATACTTTAACAGTAGGCATGGCATTTAACCTACATGATCATAGACAAAGCCTGTTCTTTCCAAATGAATAACATTATGTGTTTGGTAGGCCTATGTCTAATATCATTGTTTATAGTTGGAAAACGAAATGAAGCCTATAATTACCATGACTTAATGCTTAGTTATATATAAAATATGGTCAATACAAACCACGTAACGCAGTATTCCACTTGCCAGAAAGTGACTTATTGACTGAAAGGTAGATTCTGCTTCAAAATTACTTGATTTCATTCAGAAGAGTTATTTTGATAGATTATAAGACCGAAATTGTCCCCCTTTTTTTATTTCATATATAAAAACATTATATTTTTTAATAACATACTGACCACCAACCAAAATGTCCCCGGTTTTCATTTCTGAAATCTGGTCACCTTACCCTTTGCATGCCACACACCTCAGTGAACCTAGGAGGCTCAGCTAGATCATCATACCAAACACACATCAAACACAAAGCATCTAAATACATACATAAATGTCAACAACATAAATCACTCTGTGATCATTGTACATGGCTGCAGTTATTGCCATCCAGATATTTCTCATCTCATCCCACACCGCAGTCCGACCTCTCTAAAGAAAGCTCAGCTCCAGCTCTGATCAGCTCATATCACAGTATCATCATAGTAACTCATATCACTCAAATAACAAAACTCACAGAGTTATGGCTGGATAACAATAACACATACATATACAGTTACAACCACTGACTTAACTTTTGCCGTTTTCGCTGTTTTCAATCCAAAAACAGATGTTTTGTGTGTGTGAAAATATCGCCCGGGCCACCATCTTGGCATTGCACAATCCCTGAGCGGTTAGGTTTTGTTTCCCTCGTCAAAATGTGTTGCTTTGGAACAGATGGTCTTTGTCACCATCTATAGGCTGACCCATAGGAGCTACACAAACAATATACTAAACGATTCGTCTGCTCAATACGAAGACAATGAGCCCATTTCCAGCCCAGAAGGATGTTCTGTTCTCAAGTTCTATGCCTGTAAAGCAGGGGAGTGCTTTTGGTCACAGCAATATTGATCAATATTGACTGCTTATATGAATATGTCAATGTTTTGGAAGCTATATGTTATTTGGAACATGGTTGGAGAAAATAGTGTTTTGAAAAAAACTCCCAATAAAAGTGAACAGATAAACAGTAAATATGGCCAAAACATGGACATTCGCCTGGTATATTTTTGAAAAATTGTGTAATAACTGTTGTATATTAGTTTCTTTATATCAAATGTACAGTTACAGATGTATTAGAAGATATTCTGTTGCATTATAATGAGTTGGATGATGGTTTTGATGGTGATGAAAATAAATTTTCCTTAATTGCATCTCCATTTACTCTTTAATAGCAAAATTAAATTGGTGACATTTTAGTACCAAAAGAGGCTTTTTTAGGTTTTACTTGGGCTTTTTAATGACGTCATCTTGATGTCCATCTCCTCTGTACTTGTTCTGGTTTATACACAGTCCCCTCCAAAGTATTGGAACAGTAAGGCAAATTTTAAGTTGTCCTAAGTTGTTTAACACATCTACATGTGAATACCAGGAAATAAAAGCTGAAATTCTGAACTCTTGCTACTCATCTTTTGATCTTTGACCCAAATGTCTTCAGTGAAAAACAAAGGAATTTTCCTTACCGTTCAAAGACTTTCGGAGGGGACTGTAAATGTGTGGTGTCTTTTGGTGTTTTCGTTTGCAAAACACAACAATAAAAACTAAATTCATCCATACAATCATTCACAATTAACAAAACATTTAAAAATGATTGTCAAATGAATTTAAATCCTCACTGTTAGTTTCGATGTTCCCCCATCCGGAGACCCAGCAGGTCGTCCCAGCATTAAAGATGCTGCCGTTCGCCGCCAGACACACAGGTCTGATGTAGTTGGTGAAGTTAACAGGTGAGGACAGCTGCAGCAAGGCTATGTCGTTATTGAGCGTGGGTTGATTAAAGTTCGGATGCTTGATGATCTGGGACACAGTCCGGGACATCCCGTTTGCATTCGACAACTTTAGGGCATCAAGACCGAAGTTAACGGTGAGATCAGGGAGGGTACTGAGAAGCAGAAAAGACAACATGTTTAAATATGTGATGGACACTGGTGCTGTCTGTGTGTGAATTTTAGAATAAACTATCCCTAAAAAAGTGATAAGTGATGTTGGTGACGTATACTGTGCAAGATGAGATCACAAGAATTCATCAAGCGGTTTCATACAAAACGAAATGTTACTGTTTTACAACAAACTGCTATAAAGTAAATAAGGTCACATTGGTGTGGAAGGGGGGGGCTTAGGTTCTCTATAATAGCAGCAGGAATGTCAGTGTCTTTAATTTTCTTATTGTGCTTATTTTGGTTGTTATGCTCAAACTTTGCTGCACAAAGAAATATCTCTTGTGGACCAAATGACCTGAAACAGCTGTAATGGTGTCTGACTGTTATTACTAACAACATAAAGAAAAACATGATGAGTGGTTTTAATGTGGTTTACTGCTAAACCCTCATTTAATTTTCTCTTTATTGCTATACAAGCTCACTGTGATTGTACAGGTGAAGTCATGTGACAGGATCAGAGCTCACCTGTTGAAACAGTGAGCAGCAGTCAGGACCCACTGTTTGTTGATCAGGGAGCCTCCACAGAAATGAAATCCGTTGCTCTGCAGACTGGCCTGCCAGGGCCACGACCCGGGAGGAGCATCCGCCCCTCCTACGATCCTGCTGTTGTGCGGTGCAGCGCCACAAACTGGAGGGAGACAGTCAGAGTTCATGTATATTCATGTTTTTGGGTCCAGTTTGTTCACAGTATTGTTTCTCTCTGGGTGCCATCATCTGTGTGGATTTGTTTAATCCAGCATGAGCTCGGCTCTAAAGATGATCCTGTCAGTCTGTCTGTCCAGCTCTTTGGTCTGGATGTCTCAACAACTATGGGATGGATTGTCATGAAAAGTGTTTCAGCCCTTCATGTTCCCCTCAGGATGAACTCTAATAACTGTGGTGATCCTCTGACTTTCCATCTATCCATCAGGTGTGCAACACTTTGGTTCATGTCTAAATATTTGCAGAATTAAAGACATTTCCATCAGCCTCAGCTGTACTCTTTTTTTCTGCTAATTAGCTAATGTTAGCATGCTAACACTCTAAACTAAATTGGTGAACCATGCACAAACATCAGCATGTTAGCATTGTTATTGTGAGCATGCTGACATTAGCATGTTTCTCAAAGCACCTCTGTTCCTTGCAAACATTTGATGGGTATCAGTGTGCAGGAGGGACACCGTCAAACTTCTTATTTTGGCCTAATGAGATTTCAGACAAGAAATCACAAAGAATAATTTGTGCGCTGCAGCTTTTGGACAAATAAACACCCGTAGTCAGACAACTATGCCGTTTACTCGTTTTTGTTAAATTAGCTTTTTACTTTAGTTTTTGGGATTGCAACATGATTTATCTTCACTATCTTCACTCAAGCTTCTCGGCAGCAGCTCCTGAGCACATCCGGTTCCTTTCGATCCGAAATCCATTCAGAAAACAAACATTTTAGAAGTTGTTGTCCTGCTGTCCTGCTGACAGACCTGGTAAAGCATGAATTCACATGTTTAACAAATCGGCATCATTTTGTAGTTATTTCAGCATCAGTTTCACTCATTTATTGCTATTTAATCCCAGCTAAATATTTACTTTGTGTTGATAAAGCTGTAGTAATTGCGGGTTCTGTTTATTCACTTAGTGTTGTGTGTGAACCATGGATTATATTTTAGGGGGGCTGAAGCTACCCTAACATTGTCCTAAGACCACCCAAATAATAATGAGAAAAATAATTGTTAGATCAAATTTTTTTTACAGTGCAGACATTACTCAACAAAGAGAAGCAAGAATATTGATAAATACTATAGAATAATACAAATATAATTTGTATTTATTGGCCTAAAAAATCCTTCTGGTTGTTTCCTCTGCTTCACAATTTACATCCATTCTGTGGTCAGGCACTAGGACCCTGAGGTAGGCTGTGTTTTATTGCTGCTGTGCAGAGCTGCAGAGTGACTTACACACAGAGAGACACACAAACAAACACACACACACAGACACAGATATGGTGAAGGAAGATTGATTCAGGGTAGTGAGTGATACAGAATGAAACTGCAAGTTGTTGTTAGTGACTGTTACTTGCTCAACTTGTTGTAGCTATGTTAACCTGAGGTAAAGGAGAGGGGATATTTAGTTGGCTATGAAAAATCTAGTGTTGATAGTGTGAACGTCATTAATATTACCGTTCTCTAGTAAAAAGCAATTTCAAAACAATATGAGTCCCCATAGAATGTTGTAGTTAGTGAAAACTAAATGTCATAGTGTCACTGTTAATGCTGTTCAGTTCATTGACCAGATCGATACTGAAGTAAAATAGAATAAATAAAAGGGATAAAATAAAGTCAAATAAGATCGGGAAAGGCTCTCCTATAAAAGTATGTTTTAAGAAGGGACTTAAAAGAGTTCACTGACTCAGCCGACCTGATTTCCTCGGGCAGGCTGTTCCAGAGCCTCGGGGCCCTGACAGCAAACGCTCTGTCCCCTTTAGTTTTCAGTCGAGACTCTGGAACAGACAGCAGACCTCTGCCCGAGGATCTCAAGGTACGTGCTGGTGCGTATGGGACTAAAAGGTCAGAAATATAACAAGGCGAGAGGCCATGAAGAGCTTTAAAAGTGGCCAGACTTCTTGAGATCAGAACAGAAAACTGATCCAGACCCGAAGAAGATGATCAAGGTGAGAAACGTGTAGGTTTCCATTGCTGCCATGTATTTTTATCAGTTTTGGTGTTCGTGTTCGTAGCCAAGGCTAAATTGTTTATCAATTTACGTAATATTCTTGATAATTATCAGACACGAGCAGCAGCTCGCACAGTAAATGTTAGCTTTCTACTTCCAGCCTTTCAAAGTTTTCAATGGTTGTGCACAAGGGACATTGAACTGAACTAATTTAAAACTAACCTTCATCTGGGTGATCACATGGATATGTGAATATTTTATCTGTTAACTGGTTGCATATTTCAGATTTATCACATAACTCATGAGGCAGAGAAAGCTGCTGTTCTCAAACATTGTCCACTAAATCAAAAGTATTTTTGAAAAACAAGAATAGGCTACAGTACTCAAAGAAAAGGTCCCAACAAACAAAGGAAGAATCTCCATTTTCAGTGATCTCACAACAACAAACACTTAATATTAAAAAAAGAGGCGCTGGTGTTTATCGACCAGGGAGCTGGAAGATGTGGACAGGATGGCATATTCATTTTGCAGAGAGAATTGTAGATGCACTGACTACGCCTTACTGTACAGATTGTTGACTTTCAGACGCGGTTTAGCTTCAACTGTGCGAGAACCTGACAAAATTTGTCAGAAATGTCAGAAATTCATTCGACCACCTGACGGCCGTTCGGGAGAAGTTGATCGCTCCTCCCTTCCCCCTGTATACCGCTCAGAAAACGATGCCTGGTGAAGCGATAATTCGGCTACTCGTGTGGCTCTAAAAAGTTAAGGCCAGCGAGCTACAACCGACTGCAGAGGCGAGATATAAAAACAACGCTGTCAAGTTGGACGCCCTCTACCTGTGAGAGCTTACTGTGCGCTGAGATCTCTCAGCATTTGCAAAGAAAAAGGACTCGAGATCAGGCAAAAGATGATTCCAACTTTGTTCGCGGAGAAAAGCAACTGCGGCGCCGGACTCGACGCCTGAAGCCACCTTGCTCCTGCGAGGTATTGATGTCATGTGACATGGTGACATTTTGCAGAGCCGGCGAAAGTCAGACACGATTTCTAACCAGCATGCCTTATTTTACGACCAGCAGGCATCAAAAATTATCTTTCTTGTATTATTATAAGTTGATACTTTTTCTCCACCATAGCTCATAATAATAATTCATGCAGCTATACCTGCAGCTCTACCTGCAGCTCTTGGTGTGCAGCTCTGTGAGCGTCTCCCAGCAGTCAGCCTTGGTAGTGGCTGCAGTATTACAGCAGGTCAGTCACTGTGAGCTGGTCCCAAACACTCAACAATCTTTTTATGGTCACATAATTGTTTAATCAGCTAATATATATCCTGTAGTTGTTTTAATATCTGTAGTCACAGATCACCTCCAGTAGTATCAGCAGCAGCAGCAGCAGCAGCATCCATAGCAACCCCTCAACAGCAACTGTTCCCTGTAAGTTATGTCAGCCCACAGTGTTTTAAAGCTAGTTTTAAAGCATCTGTATATGTGTGTCGGCTGAAAACTAAAGGGGACCGAGTGTTTGCAGTCGGGGCCCCGAGGTTCTGGAACACCTGAGGGTTTTTACGACATGTGTGTTTTATTTTCTGACCTTGTGAAAGTTACTTTGAAACATGGATTTTGAAAAGTGCTCAATAAATAAAGACAAAGATTTAAAGAAGCTTGTTAGCATGTTAGCATGTTGCTGGAAGCCATGGTTCGAATCACAGGGGGGATTAGAGGGGACCCCCTAATTTAAACTTCGACCCCCCCAAAACAGGCCTTTTCCTAACATTGACGTTAGTTGAACGTCACATCACTCGCAGCAGCAGCTGATCCAGTCCATCATACGCTGGTGGAGATTAATGCACTTAACTTTCCTACCTTCTGAGTTTTGTAATTAGCATTTCATTTATATTCATTTCATATTTCATTACCACTATATCATTTCATATTTTATGTAATTTTTAGCCAACACTGGTGCCTCGGCATGAGCAGTGAGATTGAGAATTAATTATTGTTGATACACATTTTGACATCAATAGAGATTATTATTTCATTTTAAGTTGGCTACTTTGTGATTCTTTCTGCAATCAGGATGATATTTGTTTTCACTCTGGAATTCAGACGTTTTACCTGCACAGGTAAGTGTTAAATCCCAGGTGTGTTATTTAAAATGTATTCAGTTTTATTTATACAGAGCCAATTTATAACAAAAGGCATCTCATTGCACTTTTTATATGGAGCAGGTCTAGACACTACTGTTCAATATTATTTACAGAGACCCTAAAATTCCCCAACAGAGTGTGACAACTGCTTTATGGAATACAGATTACATTTCATTCACAGTCATGAGCAAGAGAAAAGGAGGTGTTTACTAAACAAAAAAGTTGAAACTTGAAATGATTACAATTAGGAATTAGAGATGATAATGCAGACTGTATTTTCTGATAGTGTCTTTGGTCCTGGTTCTACACTGTGTGGGCCTGTTTTGAGCGGTCATGATGGTCTGCTGTTGTGGGTCTGACTTTCTGGCAGTTTTACTGTAGAATAGTGACCTCTGACTAGATAGTTGTTGTTTGGTATGGGACACCCATCAACTGGTGCAGTGAATTTGATTTATCATCATCTACAGACACACATTAGTTTAAATAAGCAAGGATATTGAAAGCATTTTAAGATTTTAGATCCTGCGCTGTACTGGGATTTCTTGTACTGGGATCCCCCCCCCCCCCCCCTGCTGGAAGCACAACAGGAGCTGAAAATTCAGTTTTTGGAGGTTTTGGACAGGAAGCTGGATGAGAAGTCAGAGGATCACCAAAGTTACTAGGACATGAATGTCTGAACACACTTCATCACAACGTAAGCAACTTCTGTGGAGAGACAGAATTTCACTCTAATGGAGGTTCAAAAGTGCAACTAAAAGCTGCTTTTCAAACCTGGACTGGATTAATGTCGAGGGTTTAATGTCTGTTTTGAACTCAGAAGACCCTATGAACAAAATGAGAATATAACTCACCATCTAACTGCGCGTTGCTTCCTGTAGGAAAGACAAATAACAATACATTTAGTCACTTACAGGAAACTGTCTGCGTGTTTGATGACCATTAATCTCTTAATGAAACTAAAATGGTTTGATAGGCATATTAAGACAAAACCGAGTGGTTTCTCCTGTGTTCCTGAGACACTTTAGTCATCAACTTTAATTCACTTTGTTATGTTTTATTTATTTAAGTAAACTCAGTAAATTGTTTTACCACACATTTTTCACACAGATGCATTTCTTGGTTTATTAATCTAATAAATCTGTGAATCAGTCACCCGTCAACACACAGAGTCAGACTGCCAGGGTTAGTATATTCAAATATTTCTGCATGTTGCTGCTGGATTGTCCTCAGGCTTACTTTACCTCACCTGTGTGAACAGAAGGCGTGTCCAGAGAAGAAAACCAGGTAAAAACATGCATGAAAATATATGAAGTGTCTGAACTGGCGACAAGTAGATAATTACACAGAAACACAAGAATCAATCTCTTCTGTCTAGATTGTTTTTCATTATGAACACAACAAACAGGTGACAATATTTAAAAGCACTCACCTGTAACTGCTAAGACCACGAGCACAACACCACAAACCAACAGTTTGACCTCCATGATGCGACTCTACCAACTGCGTCTTATGATCAGTGGAGGAGTTTATTAACGGAGGAGTTTATCAGTGTATAAACCGCCTTGAAACGGCCCCACACGCCCTTCTTTGCCAGCAAATCCAATGAAACACTTTCTTTGGCCCAGAGGGTTGCACTGCTGCTGCCATGCCTACTTTTCTGAGTCAGAATCACTTTTTATTGGCCAGGTACACAGAGCCTACAAGGAGTTTGACTCTGGGTTTACATCACTCTGTGTACAAAGTACAGGATACATGCACATACACACAATAAGAATTAAGATAATAACATTTCTTTGGCAGACCACTGCGTCTACTTGCCCGTTTTTTTGTGCTTCTTCAAATGAGCTTGGACTGCAACCTGTGCACCTCATGCACACAACATAGACTGAGCATACGCAGGGAAGGGACTCTGCATGAGATAATAACAAATCACAATCAGTCACCTTCAACCAGCAGACTGGTCTTTGTTTCCCGTGTGAAACAAAAGTCAGCATTTAATGTTTTTATTTAAGTAACGTAGGTTACGTAAATTGTGTAAGTTATGCAAGTAACATTACTTAACTTACGAGCTAACGGACGTTATTTTAACCCGAACATTATCGTTTTCTAATGCGTGTGTGCATTCCTGATTGCTAGCAGTCGATATTGACTAGCAGCTATGTAATAATAATAATAATAATAATCCTTATTTGTAGAGCACTTTTCAAAAACAAGTTACAAAGTGCTTTAACAAGTGTAAAGAATAATACAAAAAAAAAAAAAAAAAAGATAAGAGCATGAAAATTTTATATAAAATTAGTAAAATAGAATAAAATAAAAGGGATAAAATGAAGTCAAATAAGATCGGGAAAGGCTCTCCTATAAAAGTATGTTTTAAGAAGGGACTTAAAAGAGTTCACTGACTCAGCTGACCTGATTTCCTCGGGCAGGCTGTTCCAGAGCCTCGGGGCCCTGACAGCAAACGCTCTGTCCCCTTTAGTTTTCAGTCGAGACTCTGGAACAGACAACAGACCTCTGCCCGAGGATCTCAAGGTACGTGCTGGTGCGTATGGGACTAAAAGGTCAGAAATATAACAAGGCGAGAGGCCATGAAGAGCTTTAAAAGTGATCAATAGAATTTTAAAGTCAATTCTAAAACATACTGGGAGCCAGTGTAATGAAGCTAAAATAGGAGTAATGTACAGCGTGCTAACCTCTGCAACCCAGCTGTATTCTTAATATAGCTCTCCTTATTAGCTAGGCTCTGTACATGCTTGCTATTAACTTATTTGAAGGTGGGTCTCAGAAATTGACAGCCTTGTGTTGGACAGATTTGTGCAGCGGTGTTCATGATACTACCGTTAACCGTTCAACTTCGGACTGATTCAGAAATCTACTCTGCGCCGAAAAGCCGGCAACAACGCTTCCTCCAGCGTATGGTTATATTTTGATTGAGACTGTGCGTGAAGAGGAGGGGCTATTTACAGACGGGTCAGTGTGTTTGTGAGAGAGGGAGGGAGCGAGCCAGAGAACGTGCCGCGCAAATATATGCGCTGCACACAGCTCTACAGTCAGACATGATGCATCCATTTTAAATAGTAAAAACAACAATCATTATGTGGCAGCCAGCACTGATACATAAATCAATGTGTGGGAAACACAGGTTAGTGCATAGCTTTTTTTGCTAGTCCTAAATGTCGAAAAACGATGCTAAGGGGTACCCAGGGTGTTAAAAAAATGGCGCTACGGGTCGCTTGAGTCGGAAGTGAGCATGTGTTGATTTAAAGCAGTGGTTCTTAACCTGGGGGTCGGGACCCCCTAGGGGTTTCGCAGCCTGGTCCCAGGGGGGTCGCGAGAATGCTAATATAGACACAAAAATAGAAAAGACATTCTAAAATTCTTTGCACTGTTTAATCCAGCAGGTGGCGGTAATGCCAACCGCTATAAAATAAAGAAGAATCAGGTCCGATAGAAAGCGCTTTGCAGGTTCGACAACGCGGTTTAAAAATTTTTGGTTGAATTTAGAAAAGAGCAAAGCACTGTGTTTTTATCATGTTGCTAGGCAACTGCTAAAGCAGCTGTCCTGTCAGTCTTATCAAAGATTATAGCCCCAGCGATCTGTAATCTTTCATTTGCTGCTAAGTAATAACTGTCATATTAGCAGAAACTTGATCACAACTCACAGGTCTGTGTCTTTTGTTGCTAAAAACATCTGCTTTGATAAAAGAAATAAACGGAGGACGTCTGCTCTGGCTCTGTTTTGAGTGTGTGAGGTGTACAAACACGCAGGAGACGGGGAAAGGGAGATCTGTGTGGGCACATGAGACCCTCAGAAAGGCACCCAGGGTGCATTAACAGCACACACGCAAAATATTTTCAACTTTAGAAAGGGGTCAGACTGCCAGAAAGGTTAAGAACCCCTGATTTAAAGCATTGTCGATAAACCAGTCGTGTTATCAGTGTAGCATTACTTGATTTGCATTCTAATCCCACATATCAAAACAAAGCTCAGTGTTTCCGCCGCACTTGTCCTTTTTGTACTGAGAAACTTTTATTTCTCAGTACAACTCATTAATCAGCAGCCTTTAACATTTTTTTGTATAAAGGCAACGATCCGCCTACACGCTTTTACAAGTCCAAAACAACCCGAGGTTTCTTGTCCTGATCTTGTCTTCTTCCTGTCTGTGAGGTATGGTATGTGTTGCTGCACTGTGTGTACTGTATGTTTATTTTGTGTCAAGGAGGTGACTTCTGTTTCGACTGTACTCTAGCCCTCCTTCATCTGTACATATGTGATAAGATCTGTCAGTTTCTGCTGGTTTCCAATAGCCATGCTCCTGATATAGGAGATAGTCTGGGCTTGTGGTGAAGTGAGTAAAATCCCAATTGCTGGCAAAGGTTTCTAATTCTCTGCATTTGTACTCAGGGCGATTATCTAATATAACAGTCTCTGGTGTTCCATGTCCCATGTTTGTGTATCACAGCAGCAGCTGTTGTGGTGTGCACCTTGTCAACGTCAAAGTATCTGCTGTAACCATTGTAATTATGTAATGTTCCATGTGAATAGGTCGGGAGTGACGTTTGTCATGGGCTACATTTTTGTGGATTTGTGGTGAGATTAGCCTACTACCATATCAGCAGAGCAATAACGCAGGGTAGCTTACTGCACAGCAGAGGGACAGGTACATTTTAATAAAATATTATTAACTTCATTCTCATTAGATTGCAGATTTTATTCTCGTAATATTATTACTTTTGTCTTAAAATATTAATCTGCAGTTGTCAGAACACAGATATGTGGGAGAGATTGGTAATGTGCAGAAAGTTTTAAACATGAACAGAAAACCTGCTGAAACACAGGAGCTCTTAAAGTCCAGGAGTTTAGAACTTAATTAAAATGAACCCCCAGACTCAATTAATATTATCAGTGTTAATTATTATTAGTAATAATAATGTATTGATACATTATACATAATTAAAACAGATGAAAACATGAAAGATTTCTGGGCTGGGCAAAGCCCCCAATGTTTCAGGAGCCTGGAAACGCCCCTGCCTCGAGGTAAAACTAGTAAATATTATATAAAAGTAAAATGTTAGTATAATATTAATATATTTACAGGTTACACTTATAGTCTGCCTGCCTGTCATTCATTAAATTATTGTGCAAGAAAAAAGCTCTACATGGTAGTTGGTCTCTGATTTGTTAATGCTAAGTACTAACATGTCATAATTATAACCACTCGTGCAGAACAACGAGTTCAACATTTCTTGGTGTCTGACAGAGTGGATGTGGAATTGCTTGTTTAATTTCTGGTTCATTGCCTGTGTTTTCCACTGGATGTTTGGATTTAATCTTGCTTTCTTCTGGACTGCCTCTGTTTTCACTCAGTGTGTAATATTAACTGTTAGTTTGCTTTCCATGTAGAGTGAACATGCTGTCTGTGTGTTGTTTATACGCTCTGATAATGTTAATCCAACACATCTTTGTAGTAGCGTTCATGTTGATTCCACATTTAAACTTAAGAGCACACGAACACACTCAAGTCGGACTTCACAGCACGGGAAATGGGACCATCCGAGGAGCATGTGAATGCACCGTGAGCCGCTGGTTGCAATTCACAACGCTCACCACTAGATGCCACTAAAATTTAACTGAAACTTTAATAAAACTTCACTCAACTGAATTTACCTTGTAGTGTCTGCATCTAAGCCCAAAGCTTGTTAGACTTACATTTATTCATTTAGCTGATGCTTTTATCTAAAGCGACTTACAATTGCTATACATGTCAGAGGTCACACGCCTCTGGAGCAACTAGGGGTTAAGTGTCTTGCTCAGGGACACGTTGGTGTCTCGTGTGTTTGCCACCCCGTTAACTGCGTTCAGCTAACTAGCTGAACGTGACCGTACCTTTACATCTTAATCATAGTTCACATAACAGAAGAGTCCATTAAATACTGTTGAAGACTTTTTATTTAGCCATTAGCCATGATGTTTAAATGTGCTACATGCCTTGCTTGATAACTACTAAATTCTAGGATGATGTTTAAGTTGTTTATTGATAAATGATAACTTTAAAGATTACTGAACTTTAGGGTGCAGTGTTCTTGCTCAGCCTCTTTTCTGCAAAATTTCTTCAACACAAGAATAACTGGAAACAGGCGGAAATATCTGACTCCAGGAGAAGACTATTTTTGCTTATTTTAAGTAAATGAATCTCAAAAGGTTAAACAATATGCGACCACAAGACAGAGAGACAGAGATTTTGACTCTAACCTGGTGAATTAAATCATCTCTAAACTTTCTATGAAAGAACAGACAAGTAGACGTCAACAGGTACGATGGACAGCAGCAGAGGAACAGAGAAGGAAACCAGGTGAGCGGTTCCAAAGAGGACGAAGCCCGGCTGGTTGGTGGTGATCTGGCTTTTGATCCAGGACTGATATTGAGACACTCGGGTGAAGCCTTGTGGGAAATTAGATGCGGCACAGCCTTTTTCAAAACTCACCACTCCAGCCTGGACCCAGACAGAGCCGCTATTTTTCACCAACGGGCCGCCTGAATCCCCCTGCAGAAATCAGACCTGGCCGGTTATATACATACACTTCTGCTCTCAGAGGGAAATACTGTCCTTTTTATTCACCTTAGATAGATGTAGTAGTGCAGATTTAAACATGTGTGTTATAAGTTGATTGAGGAGTGTTTTGCAGACAGACTCACCTGGCAGGAGCCATTTCCTCCCTGGGTCACACCGGCACAGATCATGTTGTTTGTGATTTT